TTGCTTATGTTTGCCTTTCCTGGAAAAAAGCAAATTATCAAGAGTTAATGTGAAGCAAGCCTGCTAACTAAAGGAAAGATCATTCGGCTGCCCACAGAAAAGTATTATATATGGATCCACTTCACTCATGTCTTTCCTGCTCCCACGACTCATCAAGCATTTGCCAAATCCGACTGATCAAGTGGTTCTCCTGCTTTAGATCTTACTTCTTTGATAACTTAAGCATAAACACTTCATGTTTTAACAATTATTTAAAAGCCTACCGCGTGTCAGGGACTATTCAAGGAGACAGTGGGAAGACTGCAATGAACAAAACAGAAATGTGTATGCCCCTAGTCATTCATATACATACATGGCAATAAGTAGACGTGATATTTAAACTGGTATGGTACTGGCAATGACCAATCAGAAGAGATGCCAGCCATAGTCTTGGAGTGGTGCTCTGGAAGGGCAGGAGATGTTAACTCTTTAGTTGCTAGATTGTGGAGAGATCCGGAGAAATTGGGGGAGGGGTGGTCTAGCAAAGGGCATTTGGAGGGCTCAGGATAGCAGCTATTAAGCAACTCATATGGAAGTATTTCAGTATTTTTAACAATTGATGTGTCTGAATATGAGCACCAGTAATAACTGCCATAGAGAAAAATTAAATGGCATGACACAACCAAAGTGTAAATAGAGTGACTTGTCCCAGAAAGGGTAAAAGAAAACACACAAGTTTTTGAATGGGACTTCCCTGGGGGGATGCAGTGAAAGAAAGCGGGAAGAGGGTAGCAGGTGAATGCAGTACCTTAATGCTTTTTAAGTCTCCATGAGCAACAGATTTTGTTTTTATAGCATTCTGTGAAAACAAAATACCCTTAATCTTACTATTTACCTGGAATGAATCACGATCTCAAGGTCCTGATGTAAATGATAAGGGTATGTAAACAACAGATGCTTTATAGGAGAAAATAACAATCAGTAACATCTGAATTTAATAATGTTTGACTATTAATAACTCCCTCTTATTGACTTAACAGGAGGCCACGGGGTAGAAAGTAAAGTTGTAAGAAAATGACAAGAAGCAAAAGCAGCAGCAGGCTTGTTTTGAGTAAAATCCTGGATTCAGATTTGGTTGACCTTTGGGCAGTGACAAGTGGTTATTTCCCTCACAGCTGTATTTCTGAAGACAAAAAATTGCATGTTAGCCTTAATAGGCTACGGTTTCTCACTTTTCATGTTGAAGCAACTCGGATCCATAAGTCATTTTTAAGTAATCATTTTTGAGAAAGGTACTTTTAAGGGAATCAAGAATTTTTAAAAAGTGTGCCCAGGAGCTATGAACAACTGTAGAGAAGAAAACCTTTTAGGCCTCATTTAATGCCCTTTAACATTATGATCTCAAGACAAAGAAACAAGACATCTCCAAATCCTGTTTCCATGCTTATGAAAAGAATTCTAGTCAACACTATTCAGAGTATGTGAACAGCATTTTCTTTCAATAGTTTGCCAAATACTTAATGCAAGGTTTCTCAGTTTGAGATTTGATTTATCTGGAAAGATGGTCCAGAATTTTAAATTGTTCCTCAAAGGTGTCTCTGACCTAAGAAAAGGTTAAGAACCACTGGCATAATAAAAAAAATCATTTATTCATTAAGTACTTATGCAAGGCCTACTGTCCACCAGGTACTAATCTAGGCACTAGGGATACAGCACAGACCGAGTCCAATGAGGTCACTACTCATGGAGTCGACATCCTATTGAGGAGGGGAGGGTTTATGGGAGTCAGACACCTGGGTTTAGTTACCGGTATAACCTTCAACAGGTTATCTGCCTCCGTGAGCCTCCATTTCTTCATCTGTAAAGTGAGAATAAGAAGCAGATTCGAAGTAAAATGATTCAAATATCTAGCACAAAGGTATAACATCAATAAATGATAACTGTTATTAAACTCCCTTCACCAGGAGAAAGTAGGTTTAGGTCAGTGGGATATCACTGTTTCATTTTTACAGAAGGTTAAGCTCAAAGGGATTGCATGAATTGTGTTGGGCAAGGGAGTAATTAATAGAGCTATGATCTGGGCTAGCTAGTTGACAGACTGACTCGATTTTCTTCCTCCACATTGCTTCTCCCTAACTAGGACGCTGCTGGATTCATCAGCTTTAAAGAGCCGCTGAATTATTTAAAACAGATTGGCAAACAGCCCATTGCCTGTTTTTATATGGCCCTCAAGCTAAGCATGGCTTTTAAATTTTTAAATGGTTGAAAACAAAGAGAAATAGTATTTTCTTATACTTGAAAATTGTTTGAAATTTAAATTCCAGTCCCCACCAATAAAGTCTTATTGGAACACAGGCACACCCATTTGCTTAAGTACTGTCTATGGCTGCTTTCACGCTATAGCAGCATAGTTGAACAATTGTAACAAGAGACCATAGGGCCTGAAAAGCCTAAAATATTTACTGTCTGGCCCTTTACCAAGAAAGTTTGCCAACCCCTGATTCAAAATGTCATTTTCTCTTGAAGGAAAGACATACCAAATACATCTTCCGAATTGGTAATGTGACATACTTTAAAATTTTAAGAGCCAAGTGTATCTGATAAGTCTGCAAAGTGACACTTTGATCATAGTAATCAGAATATTTAAATAAGACAATAGCTAATATTTATGAGAATTTTAGAAGTAGTGAGTCATTTGATCCTAACAACTCTAAGAGGTAAGTACTCTTTACATATGAGAGAACTGAAATTTAAAGAGGTTGGGAAATGTGTCCAAGGTCACAAAGCTAGTAAATGGCTGAGCTGCTTCTATATACCAGACCAATGCCACATAATGGATAGCTCAATAGCTTAAGTAAGAAGCTTTCTATCAGTAGATTTATCCAAACTTCTCTGCCTTTCCAAAACCTATTCCTGAATATGACCTCATGGTTAGTTTCTTTACTTCTCTAAGATTCTTCTTCTTTTTTTTTTCTTCTGTAAAATGAGGAAAATATCTATCTTGCAAGGTTATTGTAAGGATTAGAGTTAATATATTTATAACGCCTGATAGCGTGTAAATGACAGCTATTATTTCATTACTATTATATAGGAAACATTTTCGTAAGATGTGTGTATAGCAAATCTGCTAAGGTAACTCTGGGGGCAGGGGGCGGTGGTAACTATAAGAGAGAAAAATCCAGTTAAATATGTTCCCTAGTCCCTGAAAGGACTAGTGATGAGCCCCAGGCTGCCAAGTGCCTAAGTCGGGCAGCTTATCTTCCTGGAGAGGGTTTCTGCACCCACGGTGAGGAAAAGGAGCAATAAATGCTGCTAACATTGGGAGAAGGGGTTGGTAATCCACCTGAGAAGGTGGGTTCTTCACAGCTGATGGACAGTGCCTTCTTCTGTACAAAGTGTGGGCCCTACATGAGAATCAGCATGGGCATGTGGAGAAGAAACAGCTCTCCTGCAGAAACAGGAGAGGCAGCAGTTTTGAGGTAAGGGACAGGAAGTAACTTGTACTCTTAACTCTCTTTTTTTGAGGAAAGAAATTGAGGAGACTGAGGCACAGAAAAATGCTATGCTACTACTCTGAATGCCTAGGTTGGTGACCAGGGGAAATACGGCCATCAGATTAGACATTAGAGAAATCTGGTAGCAGTCACCAATCTAGAGGTTTCTCTTTCATCGATGAATAAATATTAATTACCTTCCTAGTGTGGGCCAGGCACTGTGCCAAATGCTGTGACCATATTTTCTTAAGGGATTCCGATAACCATCCTGTAAAGTAGACCCCTATCTACATTTTATAGATGTGAAAACTGAGGCTTAGAAGGGCTAGGTGACTCTAAACCCAGAATAACACTGCCAGGAAGCATCAGTCAGGATTTGAATCCAGTCTTTTGACACTTATTCCACTGCCCTTTCCATTACTCCTCAGTTGTCACCCATGGCTAGTGGCTTACGTGAGTATTAATGCACTCAACAAATATTTATTGAGAAAGTGTTCTACCAATGAGTGCAACATGTAGAGGCATCTTAGAGAGAGGACATACTGCAGTAAACTCACACACAGGAGGGAGGATGGAGGAGAGGGGAATGGGGAATGACCGTTAACAGGTACGGGGTTTCCTTTCAGGGTGTTGAAAATGCTCTAAAAGCAGATAGTGGTGATGGTTGTACAACTCTGGATGTTCCTAAAACTAATGAATTGTATCCTCTAAATGGATGAATTTTATGATATGTGAATTATATCTCAATAGAGCTGCTAAAAAAGCAAAGAGAAAATAAAAATCAACATAGCAAAGAAGGACATGCTCCATAGGATTAGAATAGAAATAGGCATAGTCATACAAGTTTTTATATTTAAAAAGAATGTAAGATTGTATTATAATTTGATTTTGGTACATGTCACAACAAATTATAAACACAAAAACAAACAAAAAAACTCTAGACGCAGAGTGGTCTTACACGTGCCATTCCACTACTATGGTGAACTAAAAAGTGCGATTCTTGCCTTTTTCCCACCTCTTGTGTAACTCCCATGGCGGTTATGTGATGCTCAAAACTGGATTTGCTAGGACAAATTTTTCCATACCAACAAGACAGATTCAACAAGAAAACATTAGCACCTCTTTTTTCTGGTTTTGTACTAACTGCTGTACAGAGAAAACAACTGTGCAGCATGTCTGGGCTTCATTTGTCAAACTAAGTTGATTTCTCTGTGGGTTGGGGAGCAGGGTCTGAATGCAGATGGGTGGATACAAATTTTGACTTGGATGGAAACAGAAAAGAGTTTCTTCTTAATTTGAAAAGTTCCTGGTGATTCATGATTCCAACTAGCCAATGGCATAATTTAACTATTCAGGTTAAATTTTGCGACTTATCCTATTTGAGCTCAAATGTGAGTGGTGCTGGATTTGCTCCTTTCCTTGAGTGAAGGCCATAAGAATTAAGGCCTTTCAATTTCTCTCCCAGTTTTAAAGAATTCGATGAGTCTAAAGTAAACCACTCATACCTTCAGTAAACATACCTTAATTAAACTGGAATTTTAACATTATAATTTACTTTAAGAGAAAGAGGCAAAAGTCAAGTAAGCTGATATTAGGAACTGAGTTTAAAGATGCTCTTAAATCTCAGATTGTATTATTAGGGCAGGACATATTCAGTCCTCTCTCTGATAACTTTCTACTCTGACCCCATAGGATTAAGAGAAACAGTATTGAGGCTGAGGCACTGAAAGATCTGGATGCGCTTTCTAAGGGAAAATTAACTTTAATGTGCATATACTATACTTACTAAATGGGGCACAAAGATTATAAGACTAAAACACATTTCCAAAAAGGCTGAAAACCAGGTTGTTTTCTAGTTGAACAAATTATTTCATCCACAAATAGCCCATTTTGCCTATTTCGATTAACCTAGGGTTACCACATATGTATGATTAAACCCCATTAAGCGTTAGTGTCTCTCAAGGTTCAGCAAATTAGTAGACTGTTCCTGTGTAGACTTTTAAGTTTATTACTTAATTCATTGATTGAAATTATGGCTGCTGTTCATATTAGGGCTTACTAGGACAATTATCATTCGCTAACTCTGGAAAAAGTTACTTTTTCTGTGCTCACTCATTTCTGAGGAACAAAGACTAAACAATATGAATAAAAAACCCTCTCACCATTTCAAAGGGCCAAAAGTACTTAATGTGACATAAATAAGGGTTGAAAGAGGGTGAGCTCAAATAGTTACAGTTCACAAAGCTCTATCTCCCTACAGTTATTTTTTAAAGTAAATAGCACATGAAAACAGCTAATGCTAAGTGTCAGATGTTATTTAACATTTGTGTGCATTATCTCTAAAGAGATACCCCAATATCAAATCATCCCCATTATAAAGATGAAGAAGTGAAGGGACAGAGATTAAGCAAGCTGGCTAAAATCACACTATTAGTAAGTGCTGAAGTCAGGATCACAAGTGATCTCAGATGGTGATTCTTAAACCTTAATGTGGACACATATCACTTGGTAGACCTAGAAAAAATGCAGAGTCTGATTCTGCAGTTCTGGGGTGGAGCCTGAGAGTATGCGTTTTTAACAGGTCATGCTCTTGATTCACAGACTAAGTAGTAAGATATGACAAGACCCAGTAAAGGACATCTAGATGTCCCTGTATTCCGTCTGCTTTAGAGTATATACACATTTGGTGAGAGAGGTTCTCGATACTAGGAGATTCAGTCTACAGATATGTCCCAAGCTATGCCATGGGATTTTGTTCCAGGCAAGCTGTCATCACGCGCCAATGCCCTTTTCTGACATTTGATTTATCTCTAGTGGAGCATTTCTTTCATTACAGAGTAATTTATTTCTACTTGGCTGGAATACTTTTACAACTTTATTTCTAGCACATAGGAGACTGCCTGGATTACTGCAGAAAGTTGGGCACCAAATTCCTATCTTTCTCTTCCTGGACCCACTATAGTCCCTAGCCTCCTAGCCTTGCAGTCAGGTGCAGCCAATGACTGAGTTCTAAATAATGGATTATGAATAGAAATGACAGTGCCATCTCCAGCTCTAGCAATAAAAACCTTGTGTGCAAGTCCTCCACATTCCTTCTCCATCTGACAGCTTGAAGCAGAAAAACACGGATCTTTTGAAAGCCACATGTTGAAGATGGCGGAGCCACAAAATTCAAGTTTAGTTCTCTGAATCAAGACTTGGAGAAGAGCTGCTTGCTCAACAGTTGCATCTGGTTAGGCTTTATGTGAGAAATAAATGTCTGTGTTTAAGCCATTATGCACGTTCAGTTTATTTGTTATAGCACCTAGCATTTAACTAATGTTTAGAACCTTAGTAAATATTTACTGGATGAGTGGAAGAAGTATAGTTTCTCTGTAGGATGATTTTGCTCATTGATTCAGGAACAAGTTAAGAAGAGAATTTCTCTGCTATAAAACTAAATGTCAGAAAAATACTCATAGATAAGAATTCAGTTTCTCCTGAAAGAGCCTCCACAATTTTAATAGCCTGTTTTGCACACTTTTGGCACATGGTAGGGTCTGTGCAGTTTTCTAGGTGGTGTAAGTTCATCATTTTCAGATCAGCATTTTCTCAGCATTATCTGATTTCCAAAAAAGATGGTTTTAAATGCCGCCTTCTTGTTCAACTCTGCTGGAAGGAGGAATTTTTTTTTTTAACAGGTGGATAGTGAAGGGATAGTTGAGTAAAAAAATAAAATCTTAAACCTATAAGTTTAACACTTACCTCCTACCCCCAAATATTTTCACAGTCCTTGAATGATGACTGATAATCTCTGCTGCTAATTCCTGAACTCTGGTCCTCCCCTGGAACTTGGCTGAGCAAGTTCAATTTAAATAAAAAGTAAATGATAAATAATAAATTAAAAAGAAATTTCTTTAGAGGACATAAGAGAGAATGGAACGTCAAAGTCAAGCAGCTATGCAAACATAGTTAAACCCAAGAGCTTTACCTATAGACGGCAAGGTCATTCTCAAACTGTTTACAATCCACACGATTTGCCTTAACCTGCCTGGGGCTGCATTCTTTCATCTGTAAAATGGGAGGGTTCAGTCGTTCTCAGCTGTTTGAGAACCAATGCCCCTTTTCGTAATAAATTTTAACAGCTACTTTACTATTAGAAATTAAAATTCATAGACAACATAACCCACCTACAAACAATGCTTTAAAAAATCAATATGATGTTATAATTTATAAGCATTTCAAAAAGAAAATGTCAGACATGTCTAAACTAAAAGACATAATGAAATAGTCAAATGCTTTATATACCTACTTATAAAGAATAAATTTGAATTTTAAAGAAGCAAAAGACCAGAGGCCTTTCCATTCAAGTAGTACAGGAAAAGTTATAAACCAGTCTTATTTGTATTTAATAAGAGAAACAGGAAAATAACAAACTGAAGTACGGCTCACAACCCAAATCAAATAGCAGATTGCTAAAACAGAGAACATCAGGTAGAACTGGGCCTTATCTATAACGTGAAGCCAGAACAATTTTCTTATGCTGTGATTTGAGATGAGGCAGTGAAGTATCACAGAAAACATATCTCCTATCTTGATAACCCTCATGTGTGGAGAGGCATGCATTGATTGAACTTAAAGACTTTGCAGATGAGGGAAAGAGCCTGGACGGGAAAAAGAATCAATAATTTCCACAACATAGATTATTATCATGCTTCTATATAAGATGGCACAAAGGGAAATATTTTTAAAGCAGACTTTAACAAAATTCAATGGCAGACTCACATTTCATGTGTCTCCACTACTTTAATAATTTGTATAAATATGTTTTAGTAAAGCAGGGAAAGAATTTGAATTTGATACATACTAGCTCTGTTAATAAATAACTGAGTTCTTTTTACAACTCTCTCCTGGTTATTTTCTCCCATCACCCAATTAAAGAAAAAAGCAAAGCAATAAAAAACCTAGCCTACAAGTGTGCTTACCATTTTTTAGAACTCCAGAATTTATTTTAAAAACTAAGAAAAGATAGAAAACTTACTAGATACTACTTTAAAGGACAGTGAGAACAATTTTTTAAAATGTTTCCCAAGTGAAATTAAGATGTTTGCATACTATTTCTCAGAACTGTCAAGGAATAACAGGGTAATACTGGTGGGGGAAAATTCTTTTTCTGCAAAAAAGGTGTATTGAGATTCAAGGAGAATCTCATGTTATCCTTAGTTTTAGATCTTAACTGTGCAAGAGAACAATAATGCACAAGTTGAGCCTAAGGGTTCTAATCTCCCTTTACTTGACCACAACCTGGCATGACAGCCTTTAAAAGAAATTTATATTTATTTTGTGTCAATTTGATTATTAGTACATCAAAGAATTTTTAAAAGGTACCTTAGCCATTTCCCCTCCATAGAAATATCATTAATTTTACAATAAATATTTTTGAGAAAATACACTTTAAGATTAAGTAAACTTTTAAATAAACAACTTACATTGATGTTCAATATTAAATTATTTTAATTAAAAGCATGAGCTTTGGAGTTAGACTTGGATTTGAATCCTGATTCTACCACTAAATATATAAGATAACACATATAAAGAGCTGGCAAAGTTGAAGGCACATTAATAAATCCTCAAATGTTAGTTGTTATTTCTAATCAAAGCAATGATGGCTACCATTTATAAACACATACTACGGATGCTTTATGAACATTATTGCATTTATTTCTCTTAATTGTTCACTAAGTATTATCACTCTTGTTTAATACATGAAAATACTGAGGTTCAGAAAAGATTGAGAAGCATGCCCAAGTTCTGAACGCCAGTGTGTCAGAAGCCGAAGTACCAACGCTACTAACCACCATTAGAAATTCTGGTGGAGAGAGGGAGAGAAGGGAGTGGGGGAGTGTGTGTGTTTGTATGTTTGCAGAGGGCGGAGGATCCATGAGTTTACTATGAGAATTAGACATTTTTCCTGTTGATGAAAATTTTTAAAATACTCAATATTCATGTTCTGAATTATCTGGAAAAATGCCTTAAAATCAAATATTGCCAGAAGGTCTCAGTGCCTAGGTTTGCATTTGTATTTACTTGCATGTTAAAGCCAGGTTCTGCTTTAGTTGTGTGGGAGGTTCATGGAGATAGAGGCTGACTTAATAGGAAATGATGCATTCAAGCTAGATGAAGACCAAAAGAACAGAACTATGTGCTAAACAAATGCAAGTAATAGTCTAAACAGAGAAAAACAGTGGGTGAATTGATTCACCACATAGCACATCGTAGAAGGTGCGTGCTGAACTCAAAAGAACGGTGCTAGGGGCTGGCCCAGTGGTGTAGCGGTTGGGTTTGTGCTTTGCTTTGGCGGCCTGGGGTTTGTGGGTTCCGATGCTGGGTGCAGACCTATACACCACTTGGAAAGCCATGCTGTGGCAGTGTCCCACATGCAAAGTGGAGGAAGATGGGCACAGGTAGCTCAGTGACAATCTTCCTCAAGCAAAGAGAAGAAGATTGGCAATAGATATTAGCTCAGGCCAATCTTCCTCACCAAAAAAAAGAACATGTACTACAGCACTCAGTACCATAATCAAACTACAAGTGACGGTTTTGTGCTGGCAAAACATCATCATCCATCATATTTAATTACTATCATTTTAAATTTATTAATTTTATAGTTTTGCTTGTGTCTGATCTGTAAACTTCCTTTGGTTTTATACTGTGCAAGAGCTGTAAGCATAAGGCATTTATATGTAGCTTTATGTTTATCTATACTTAACATTATAATAAATAAATGAAGTAAAAAGGAGTTAGAATTATTCCTTATTAAAAGGAGATGTGTGTTATTCAAGTTTGAGAAACACTGCTCTATACTACACTGCATGTGTGTGTGGGCTCCAGCAGGTCACTTAACCTCTCTCTATTACCACCTGCCTCACAGGGTTTGTAGGAGGATTAAAAGAGACAATGAATGTGTGAGTGCCTGGCCCACAGAAGGAATGAAAATGATAGTTCTGTCTCCTTTACCCCAAACAGGGAAAATATGGAAGCTAAATATCGACTAGGCTCTTTTACTCTATGTGTGGTGTTGGGACCAGAAGTATTGATCTCACCTAGGAGCTTGTTAGAACCTGAGAATCCTAGGCTCCACCCCAGACCTACTGTATCAGAATCTGCATTTTAACGTATTCTCAGTTGACTGAATATATGCACATTAAAGTTTCAGAAGCATTAGTCTAGGTCTCCATAGAGAAAGCTGACAGTAAAATTCGCTGCACTTTCTACTACTCTGTAGGTTAACTTTGGTGATTAGAGAAGTGCCAGGTATAAATGGCCAAAAAAGACTGTCCTAACCTGGTGATTCGAAATAAACATTACCGTTTTGCTACGAGTTCTTCATAGGCTGTATATGCATAGAGCGGGGATCCTCTTTAAAAGAGATCCTAAGTCAGAAAGACCAAAATATACTTTTAAATGCAAAATATGCATAAAAGCTTTCTGAATTTTGAATAAACAAATTTTAAGACCAATCAAAACATTTTTAGGTCTCCTTTGCCCAAAAGCAATTAAAATCATTTACCTATGTTAAGCTTTTATTTAAACATTTTGACCCACAAGGTCTGTCTGGTCTGACAAAGTCCTGGCTCAGTTTATAATGACTGTGTGCTTACACTAACAAAACATACTACCAAAAAAAATATGATTGTGCATATAAAATATATTAGTTTTAACTGTTCAACAAAAATATTAGATCACATTCAGCAGTTACGATTTTGTTAGTGTAATTCATCTAGAGAATACCTATGCTTTTCTTGAACTCAGTGAACCCTACACATTTAAGGCATGCTGTAATAAAAAAAGATTCTAAGATACTGTTCCTGGAAGCATAGAAAACAAAGTTAACAACTAATATCCAAGAGAGCCACTAATATCTAAAATGACCTTGACATTATCTGTTTAAGGGCTATTTTGGTAGAATCATTTATTGCCCTAAGTTCTCTTCACATGGGCTACAGAAACCACATGCAAAGAATTAAAACCAACCAGGTTACTGTGTGTGTATATATACAGATACGTATGTATGAGTGTATGTATACATTATATGTATATGTATATATGGTTAGGCCTAATAGGCAATCCTTAAACTCTCTGGGTTTACGATACGACCTAGATTACAGGTAGAACCCTCCTCTATCCTTCATGGTCTCAAGCAATCACACACCAACAGTTAATTACATACCCTGAGGCATATTAGTGCCAGTACAGGTAAAACACTAGTGCATGCTGATTATGATAGCCATAACTTAAGAGAACCAAAATTGAAACTCACTGGCTAACTCCAATGTTACAGGTTTATATGCCGTCTTGAAATCCTTTTGGCCCTTAATACAACCAATCCACTGTGCCTAGAATCATACAATCCTTCTCCTTCCAGTCTGTCAAATTCTAATAACTTCTGTTCACATCTTAAGCAATTTAAACTCTATCTACATACATACACTGACAATGTATCAGGGGAAACTGATTTTTAGCTTATACTGAAACTACATTTTATTGCTTTCCTATCAACTGTTGCAAAGAAAGGATTAACCATTATCTATAGTTTGAATCCATTAAACAATATCTAAGCAAATAGAAAACAGGTAGAAATAGGCAAGCCACGTTTTCCTACTAGAGTGATTATACTCATCCCTCTCCAGAAATGGGAGACATTTTAATCCTTTTAGACTTCAGATATTTGATCAAAAATCTACATGCATTTTTCCTACCAAAAACAGTCTAAGAATCCTGTTGCATAGTCTCAAACTACTGTAGATGGATTCTTTTGAAAAAATAAATATAATAGAGCACCAGCCAATTAAATAAGATATATATATATTAAAGAAAAGAAAATCTTTAAAATATGAACCACCCAGTGTCTAAGCCATCAGAGTCCAATAAAGACTGAGGTTTTTTCAAGAGGTCATTTTTGCTAACAAGAAACGTGAACATAGATGAGTTAAGAATCCAAATATATGCTGAAGCAAGAAACATACTTGTTTTAAAAATCATATTATGCCTTGCATAAGTTAGTTAATATTTTGTAAACTGTTTCTTCCTCAATTCAAATAGCATTTGGTGTAACTCAAGTTTGCTGCACCTAAGGACTGGGTAGTGCTTTGAATTAACATCAGATGCTCGTGGTCATCTCCACACAGTCACCTCTTTATCATCTAATATGTTCCTGAAAATGGCACGTGTTTTCCAGCCTACCCAACCTTTTGACAAAGGCAGATATATACTAAATGTAACTTAATAATTTCAACATCAAGGTCACTGTGTTCCCCTTCCAGGTACATTGAAACAATCTCAGGACATAACACTTGAGACAGTTCTAAAAGCATGAACTTGGTCTCATATCAAATTTAGTTTCACTGAGCAGAGGAGCTCTTATCTTTAGTCACAATTAACTTATGAAATGCAGTTGATATACAGTTCCATACTACCTTTATACCCTAGGACATCAATTGAACTAGAATCTCAGTATATGTAGAATCCTCCTTGTGTTACTAAACATTAATATACCGGTATGAATCCAAAGGAAGATCCTCTCAAAATTATTGCCTACAAGAAACTGTACATATAAATATGTTTCCTTTCAAATGGCAAAGTAGCTTGCAGCTTCTATTATGTATAGAGGAAATGATTCACGGCAGATGCCAATTTAAGGTAGCTAAGTTCAGCTTTAACAAAGAAAAGCTGACATATTTTTATAACTGCTCCTAGTGAAAAGATACCTTAAATATGACCTAACAATTGACTGGAGAAGATAAAGCTAATTTTTCCGATTTTTAAAGCTCAAGGCTCAAGGGTTAAAGGAGTACTGTTTGAGAGGAAAACTAATAGCAGACATCTGACTGGCTGTCTGGACATGATGACCTAGGGAACATACAGGAAGTCCTTAACAAATAAGCATATATAGGGAACAAGCAGTTTTGATTTCTGACACAAGGCAAACGTGTCCATTACATGCAAAAGATAAGAGTGTTTAAGAAATGTAAAGCCCCTTCCTATTTATATGGAAAGATATAGGATGAGGTTAAGACAACTATAGGGGGATTTCTGTAACATAAATGAAGAGAAGTATGTTTCTTTTACATCCACTGAAGAAATAATTTGGGCATAGGGAAATGGGACCCTTGGAAGCACCAATTCTGAGCACATTAGAACAGAAAACTTTTACTTTTTCTTCCCCAAACTGTCAATATACATGATGGAGTGAGGGAAATGGAGGGCGGCTGTAGGAATCAAAAGGAATACGAAGACACCCAGATGGAAATGATAATGGTTTGACCTTAATTCAAGAAGAAATGTTTAAAATGGCTAACAGATGCCTCTCATTAAAGTGTAGCTCTGGGGGAGGAGTAAGCCAGAAGAAATTCTGGGCAAAGCAGAAGGAGGTCCTCAGGGTTGGGATTTTGCACTAACAGCTCTTGTCCCAAGAAAAGAAAAATCACTCAAAAGGTGCCAAGGACAAGAGGAGGGCCTTGTAGCACTCTCAGTATATTTATTATTATTAAATAAAAAACTAATTGAAGACACCCCATCACACAAACTCCTCTAGCATTTTTCATCCAAAGACATCAAAAGCCCTTTCTAAATGCTATCCTCATGATACCTCTGTGAGGTAGGTAGCATAATCCTAATTTTTATTCATAAGCAAGCTAAGGCACAAATAGAGCCTGAGTGTCAAAAGTGGTCTGGAATTTTCTTCACTGCAACGCACTTCAACATATTGAGGCAGGCAACTCAAGAGACATTGCTAGGAAATGTCATTAGAGGGAGTAGCTCTAAGAGCTAAACAAAATCATTCACAACTCTGGGAAGACAGCACACTTTCTAAAGGCTCACTGACAGAGTCTTAGGGGATGCCCTTCATGTAAGAGTACTAATATGCACAGTCCTTTTGAACAAGGAGACCAAATCACCCATGATTATTGGAAAAGGCTGAAGATACAGTCTTGTTTTCCCTACTGTTGAGACCAGAACAGTGGCAATCTTAACAAAACATATAATCCAAGGAACTTTAGTCCTTAAATCTTAATCTTAACTGGTGCAATAAAATTCTAAGACCTATGTTTTGCTAATGCTTTTGATATTTTTGATCGGATACACTTCCACATCCTTGGTCCCAGACAGTTCTCTTTTATCATAACCAAATTATCTGTATAAAATGTAATGCCAGGATCTGAAGCAAACAATGCATCCAGTAAGCATACATTGGTTCTATATATTTTGAGAAATACTTAAGTACACAAAGGAAGCGTGCAATGTTAAAGAGATGATGTGAACGACATTGGTGGCTCATCTAATGGAAAATTCAGTGTCCTTTGAGGAAACTGAAGATACTCAAAAGTTGCTCCCCAATTTCTATTAACAACTCTCTAAAAACGAACATTTTCATTTGATACAAATATACAAATTTAAAATAAATGTGCAGTTCAGAATGGCCTACCATTTTCAGATTGCTTATATGCCAGAAAATATACAGTCAATAAAAAAATACCAGAGAGGTGGGGACAAAAGGCTCTCTGGATCTGTACAGCAAAAATGAATATCACTTCAATAGGTAGTGATTCGTGGAGACAGTGATGTCCTTGGAAACCAGTAGCACTGAAAGATGGCAGGTCACAAATCTGGTGATGGGGGGTAAGATGTATAGTAAGGCCCATTTTCCTGTGGAAAGAAAAAAGACAAGAACATTAAGTAATAACACCAATTCAATCAGCAATGTGAAAGAAAGGGATTTACAGTCAATGACATAGTGTAAGTAAAATGTCTAGCACATGCTTGGCCCTGAGCGGGCTTTCAGTCATCAGAGTAGTCCCACTGCAGTCAGTTAGAGTTGGTGTAAAGCAGGTAGAGATGGGCAGGGTGATAATATTTTTTAATAATATTACCACTATTGAGTATTCTATATGCCAGACACTTTATCAGCGCTTTCCTTGCCTTATCCCTTTATATCCTCACATGCCATGTACGTAGGTAACATCCTCATTTTACAGAAGAGGAAACTGAGGATCACACAGATTGCATAACTCACCTAAGGTCACCTAGCTAGTAACAAGAAGAGCTGAATTTAAATTCATGTCTATTCAAATCAAATGCCCAGATTCTTTTTTGTTAGACTGTGTTGTCTTACTGTGTGCCAAATTTTAACACAGAGTTATGAAACAAAGACAATTATCACAGAGGAATTTAATAACAATAACTGTTTTGGCAGAAATGAGTCTTCTCCATGACATGCCTAAGTGGCAAGCCTTGCAACAATTATAGTTCTTAGGGCGTTTAGTTCAAGATCAAGATGGAGAACTAAATGCCAGAAATGTAATGTCAAATGCAGAAAGCAACAAATCAGCATAAGCGGAAATTTTTTGAACTCATTTTGGCTAACTTTATTTTAATAAAAATCAAGACAGTTAACTTTTGGTGGCTGAACACTAGATTTGATTTACGAGACATCAGATTCATTTCTTAAGGAAAGTATTTCTTTGATAAATAACTTGTTTTTCAGGAAACCACAAGCAGAAAATGCTTAGCATTAATGTAAAATAATAGTTAGGAATGAGAATGAGAGGTAAGATGGAAATAGCATTGCTTTATGGTGTATTTACAATATAGTTATTACAGAGCATTAAATCTATCCAGTCTTGAACAGAGTAGGCAGTTAAATGTTATCTGAGTGACTTAGGGAATCTGCCATTCTTCAGAGCACACGCTCTGGAGCAGGAACTGATCTTGGGACCATAACTAGGAAACAAGGGGATATCTAGAAAAACTTACTTTCTGATTATAAATCTGACCAAGTATCAAAAAGATTCAAAAAGTAAATTTAGGTAGAAACAAATAGTAGGGGTCAGCCTGGTGGCGCAGCGGTTAAGTTCGCACGTTTCGGTTCTTGGCGGCCCAGGGTTCGCCAGTTTCAGATCCCGGTGCCGACATGGCACCACTTGGCAAAAGCCATTCTCTGGTAGGCGTCCCACATATAAAGTAGAGGAAGATGGGCATGGATGTTAGCTCAGGTCCAGTCTTCCTCAGCAAAAAGAGGGGGATTGGCAGTAGTTAGTTCAGGGCTAATCTTCCTCAAAACAAAACAAAACAAAACAAACAAATAGTAGGACTGGCTACATTTCAGGATACTTGAAAAAAAATAATAAAAATTTTTTCTTTTGGTATTTTAGAATTTCCCATCAAAATCTGTTATACTAACCACTCCCATATCCTCAATATACATGGAAGCCATGCTTCAGAAACATGCTTGAAGACATAAATCTGTTCTGAAGTTCATCTGAAAAGAAATGGTTCACTATCCATCTTTAAGATTTCTCCATTCCATTCCACTACCATATTTTTCTAGGTTTCTCATATCTATATTAAATTGTGATAAAGTAAGAAGGGCAAATCTAATTCTTAATGCTATGAAACAGAGCTTTTTATATTAGTCTCACACTGTGCAAGAGACTGCTGAGCAATCAAGTATTTTCTCTATTTCTGGAAACAATTATAGAACTTTGAAGAATTGTTACCAGGTAAATTTATATACTCTCTTCTTTGACTATAGTTATAAGAATGCTGACTAGTACCCCTTCTGAAATGGTCTCAGTACGATTTTGATCTATATAGATAAAAATTACCTTCTAATTGACTTCAAAGTTATCTTTTAATCCTGTGAAACTTATGTCACTATTCTAAGCCACATAAAACTCAGAAAAACAGAAGCCCACTGAAACTTGCCAACAGCCAACATCAAATTATACCTTCACCAAATAAAGAACCTACTATGTGCAAAGCACAATTGAACATGACAATAAAATTAACTAACTCTATACTCATTTCCTTTTCTGTAATTGTATCTTCAATTCTTCTTAACAAAGGAAAATGTTTCCTTACAAGGTAATATCCAACCACTATTGGACCTCCACCTCAACACCCCATGAAGCACCTCAAACCTGATGTGTCAGAAACTGACCACATCGCCTGTCTCTTCTCTCCAAGCCCCCTAGTGCTTTTCCTCCAAACTGCCACTCCGCAGTGGCAGCAAAACCATCCACCAAGTCTCTCAAAGCAGAAACTGGTAGTCACCTTAGGCATCTTTCCTCCTTCATCCCCCCTAGGGGCTACTCAGTCACCAAATGCTGTGGATTTTATTTCCTAAAATGTCCATTTCTAAATATCTCTAAGGTCTTCAAATCCTTGCCCTTATTACTACCACTGCCCTAGTTCTAGTCTCACTTCTCCTCCGGTCTTCTCTAATAGCCTCTCACTTGTCTCCTTGACTATAGTCTTACCCTTCTCTAGGCCTTCTCTATGCTGTCTCTTTAGCCATCTTTCTAAACCGGAATATAATGGGCATTCTTCTTGCAGAACACTCCCCAGTGACTACAAAGCCAAAGTACTGCAGCATAACATGTAAAGCTCAGCATCTAGTGATCAGCCCTCTGCCGGCCCTTTCCACACCATCTCCTGACACCTTCTTTTGTTTATTCTCTCTTTTTATTCTTCTCTTTTGCCCTTATATATGGATGCTCTAATATCTCAATTTTAGAAAGCTCTCTAGTACAGGTACAGAGAGATGATCCAATGACCCAAGTGTTAGATTATAGGTTATTTTTATTTAATTTTCACTAATCACATTATTCATTAAGCCTGTATCTGATACATAAAACATAACAAAACCTAAATCAAACGAAACAAAAAAACAAAACCAAGCTTGAGTATGGTGTTGATGTCTAATCAAAGCCTGCTTTATAGATCCTTAGGTATACAGAAAATGAGTTAGCTTAAAAAATGGTCCTTTGGGTTTTCTAATCCATACAACCCAACTTGTACATTTCTACCCCAGAAAATAAATTAAAAATCCAGACACTAGCTTTGAAATGTCATTCCAAATTTTTGGTATCAAAATGTCTTTTAGTGCTTTTCACATTTCCTGCTATCCATTTTTTTTTTAAATATTAAGAAAAGTGATGTACAGTTGGAAAGAATAACAGTAAAGCCATTTGCTACTCCAGTAATCTGCAATAAATACAAACTGATGTTCTTTTTTCTTCTCCCATATATTCAACAACCTTTGTATGTATGATACAGTTGCTTCAATTACAAATCCTCTCTGTGCAAAAGCCAAACATGAAATTAGAACACATTAAATAGTTTGTTCTTCACATAAAGGGGAACAGAAATCATAGCTGAAGTTAGAGAAATGTTAGAGAGAAAATGTCTTGTAGGATATTTATTTTACTGTATACATGTTGTACAATAATTAGGAAATAATTCATTTCAAACTTAATATAACCTTCAAATATATTCCCTGATTCATGCATAAAGATATGTAATCAGCAACAATTAAATAAGAAGATTGATGATCTTTGGCCCAAGCATGTTACTTTTTTTTCCAACTACTAAAGTGATAGTGTGAATAAACACAATGGACTAGAACTTGGATGAAATTCAAGAGTAGCTCTTTATAAGTGTGTAATAGATTCATAAATGCATCCATAAGTAATAATACTAATATTGTTAGTTGATGCTCTTAAAAACATTATACAAATTCTAGCAAAATGAAACTTTTAGTAGGGTAAAGACTACTAAGATAGGGTACCATATTTACAATTAATGCTGAAAATGTCAGACACCAATAGACTCCTCTGGCTTTATTTATATAGATGAAAAGCCATTCAATCTTAAGAAAATTAGGCACAGGTATGTTTCAAAGGTAGCAGAAAGCTGACAATACAAGCAAGGATGGGCTTCAAATCGACAACAGAAAAATCTCCCACTGAAAAATTTACTGGGGAAAAAGCCCTCTCAGGATGATGCATTTTCCTAAAGTTACTGTAGGAAAAGAATGTTAAATGATACTATCAAGTTTACTAATTGGATTAATATCATCTTATAATGAAAGGATGTTGTGCTCACAAGCACTGCCCTATAGCATAGTTAAGATACTACACCAGGTAAGGGAAACTCCTGGTACTTCTTACCCTGGCATCATATTCAAGGACAAAAGGAGGAAAGTCAATCTGTTCTGGTGATATGGCAGAAAACAGCTGGTGGAGGCTGTCCACATGGTGGATTTTGTCCTTCAGTCCTGAGACAGAAAAGGTGGTAAAAAACCATGTTGATACCTGATTAACAGAAGAGAAAAATAATTTAAGCCAGTGGCCAGAGTTAGAAATACAAACATGATTTTGAAAATTTATACTATATAAAAACTATATTTCAAAATTGAAATTGATGTCAGAAAAATCTTGCAATAAGCAGTGTTTTTCAAAGTGCAGGTTATAGTTCATCAGTGAATTATGCAGTTTAGTGGATTATGAATAGCATACAAACAATAGCAAAAAAAGGAGACACATTCAGGTAACAATTACTTGTGAATGTAGTAAGGATGAGCTTTGTTTCATGAAGCTTTTGCTTCTGTTCTGTGTCTATACGCTACTACACATGCAGTGTGTTGTGATGCAATATACTCTTCTTACTGTGGGATGCAGTCAAAAACAGTGCATTTGGCAGAGTAACTGATTTACTGGTACTCTGCACACGGCTAACATTTCCAGATCTCAGCAACTCTTCATTTTTTCAAATGAGACTGAAAAGAAAACTTTTGCCAATATTTGAGACATTTATTTTTCAGTTGACACTCGGCATGCAGTCTCTTTCAGTCAATCAAAAAGAGTAGTCTGTGGATGTGGAGCCACCTTTGCTCACTTCACATTACAACATGCAATCCCTCTATAAAACCTGGTCTGCAAAATTTGTTGGTTCCCAAAAGAGAGAACAGTTGATAGCAAACAATACTGACATCAACTAGGTAATAGCTGGAACTTACATTTTATTGTTCATCGATCTAAACTGGCAATCACATTAGTCATGTTTACCAACAGCTTACAGAATAGTTCTATGAGGTAGGTACAATATTGTTGCTATCCTCATTTTATTTGGTAATATGTGCATATGAATTCTCAGTGCACTGACACAGTACACTCCAAATGTCTAACTGGGTGCATTATCAATACATGGCACTTTGGGCACTTGCCACTAATGCCAATCACTGTTAATTTCTCTTTGACACCTTATCACATTCTTCAGTGGTTGTTCCAAGCCTTTCACATATTCCAGGTCCCTAACACAACATTCTTTCTTCATATGTACTTATGAGAAAAGGCATGGAATAACAGACAACACTGAACAAACTTATCTCTATCAGAATCCTATCCAAACTTCCAGACTTTGACAGAGACTCATTATTTCAGACTCCACCATTATTTCTCCCTTATAGCTCTAAACAGATTATCCCCTTTTAAATTCATATAACCTTATGTTTAAATTTCATTTATAGCATTAGTATTTCAGTTACTTATGTTCAATTCTATAATTTACCTAGTACTTGGCAGACAATTACAGAATAATAGTCTAAAGTTTTAGAAGGTACAGACAGAACCATACATCTCAAGTATTTGATAAAGAATGAATGAATAAAGTTAAGGCCTATTTCATAACGATTTTAATGGCTTGGGTCACTACTCTATTTTGGCTCCACTACCAATGACTGGTATAAGGTCTCAAATACTAACATTACCCTCTCCCCTCCCATCTTACCAGGGTTATTTGGGGGAGGAGGAAGACACTTGGCTTTGCTAGAATAGAGTTAATTTAAATCAAACACTTAATTACATACCTCAAATCAGTTTTTTACATCACATTTTTTTAAAGCACATGCTATTATATATCTAATTGACACAAACTTCTGAAAAATAGATTAGTGAAAATTCCAGACTAGGAGCTCTACAACCAGCTACAGAGGTAGCTGGTAAACTACTAAGAGCTTTGGAGAGACCATGGAGATATCAGAGATTCTAGAAAGAGCTGAAGAAAATAAGGAGACTGTGTTAGGATGATACAAGAATGTATTAGAAGATACATTTGTGCAAGGAGTTAAACATCTACTGGCCCTCTAATATGTCCATTCTGCACAGTTGTAGATGATTGAGGGTAACAATGATATGGGCATTCCTCTAAAGCGGGCTTAGATTCTGGCAGAAACAGGATTATATGCACAAGAATAACAACTACCTAAGGCAAAATGTAATCAGTACTATGAATGGCCCAAAGAAACACATGAATACCTATTATATGCATGCAGCTGTGATACTTGGAAAAGGTATGGAATTACAGAGCTACAAGAGACTACCCAGGGAATTTCTGTGCCACTGTCTCTTACCTCGGGACCTTTTTACATGCTTTTCTAGTCTTGACATTCTTTTCCTTAATTCTTTGCCTAGCCAATTGTCCTTCGGAGTTCAGATCAGAATTCACCTCAGTGAGGAAGCTTTCTTTGACCACTCTCCACTCAAAGCTGCAAAAGGAGCTTCCTTCTAAGTGTTCCAACATACTGTTTACTCATATTATTGCATAATTAACATTCTGTACTGTATTATCTGATTCTCTAAATAGACTGTAAACTCCCCAATTTGGAGACTGTCTTATTCAATATCATTTCACAGGGTCTAATTAATGCTTAACACATAAAGTAAGGAATTCAGTACGTGTTGAAAGAACTAGCAAATGGAGAAATAAAAGTTTCTGGAATTATTACTTTATTAGGGATGATCTAATATTCCTTCATTTCACAATAAAAATAAATTGTACTTCAATCTGGGCCTCAGTTTCTTCATCTATAAAATGAGCAAGTAAGACTTAAATGATTTTTAAGGTCCCTCTTAATCATACAATTCTATGAAGGGACTCTTGACTATGCTACACCATACTGACGTGGAGGTGGTAGCGGCGGTAAATTCAAAGAAAGTTGGATTGGGAAGGAACAGGCAGTGATTTTAGGCAAACGATCTTTGAAAGAGAAACACACTTCTCTGGGGCGTTTTCTCTCATTACCTCCTTTACATCGTCCAGGTATCAGCAAGAGAAAACTACTCAAGTAGACAGAAGTGGAAACGCAGTTAAAAGTTTTCTGTTCACAGAGACTCAAGAGCATTGTCTTCACTTTTCCCCATTTTAGTTTTACATATCTTAGCTTTTAATTTTCAATTATTTATAACACAAATCATAAATACACATTTTTTTTGGTAAACTTGCATTACTCAGTATCTACTATTTTAAAAAACTGAAGAAAATCAAAAATTTGAAAAAGGACTGCTGTGATATTTTGTGAACGTTAGAAATTATTTCATTCAATTATTCACAAACGGAAAGCCAAGAACACAAAATCACAAAACAATATAAACCAGGAAAACATTGTTTGCACACATGTGCACTCAAGTAATCTCCTAGAGCCAGAATCAACAGTGGGTTTAAATTCTACTAGTTTGCATTCTATTAGTAAACTTCAAAGAAGAAAAAGAGCAGTGATTTATACGAGTAGTTAACTTATTATCACAATTTATTTATCCACTTTGGGTGGAGTGGTCTGGAAAAGATCTGAGGAGTATGGAAATCAAAACAGTGTGATTCGATTGCTTTATTATCCCTCGATTTCATCTCCTTATTTTATAACTACAAACACTCCATTTACAGTTTTTGGCTTAATATAAAATAATGGTGGATTTCATTACACATGGGTTTTATTCTCTCAATCCTACCTCATTTCCCCATCCCAAACTATTACAGAAAGTAACATAAATGGTTTTCACTTTATACATCAGGTCTTTAGCCTTTGCCCAACCTGCCATTTGCACTGACATCTCTCTGAAGCAATTCCAATGGTGTGACAGCCAAGGCTAATGGCTCCAACACTGACATTTCTGGTAATGTTTATCCACTGACGTCACAGGAAGGATAGCTATTTATTGACTCTCTAGTGAGGGGGAGTAGGGGTTAAAGTCAGATCTTAGCAAACACTGGCTACATATTCGCATAAGTCTGGTACAAAGGAACACTCTTCTTACAAGTCTGAATTTGTGAGAAAGGTAAAACAAAAAATGTTTTTTCCATCAAAAAAATTATGAAAATGTTCAAACATTCACTAAAGGTGAAATAATTTTACAGTGAACCAGTATAGCCACCATTCAGACAACTGTTAACATTTTCTTTATGTTTTCTTTATCACATACCTATCCATCCCTCTAACCATCTATTAATCCACCTTACTTTTTTGCTGCATTTCAAAGTATCCTGCAGACATCATTAAATTTTCCCCAAATACGATATTCAGATATTTAACTAGAGTTCAACGTCTGTTCAGTTTGTTATAAATTTACATTTGATGAAATGCACAGATTTCAAGTGCACTTTTGCTGTTTAGACAAATGCACACACTTGTATAAGCAAAACTCCTATTAAGATATAAAACATTTTCAGCACCCCAGAAAGTTCCATCATGCTCCTCTTCCCTCATGCCCTTCTCCTCAAAGGCAAACACTGTTTTTTGTTTTTTGTTTTTTTTTTACCATGGATTAGTTTTGCCTGCTCTAGGATCTCATATAAATGGAATCATACAGTATGACTCTCTTATGTAAGGCTTCTTTCACTCAGCATAATGTTTTTAAGATTATTCCATGCTGTTGTATCAGTAGCAGGTTCTCTTTTATTGCCAAGAAATATTCAATTACAAGAATATACCAGAGTTTAATATTCGTAAGCCTATTGATGGACACCTGGGCTGTTTCCAGTCTTTGGCTGCTATGCCTAAAGCTGCTATGAACATTCTTGTAGAAGTCTTTCTATGTGCATATGTTTTCATTTCACTTGGGTAAATCTCTAGCAGTGGAACTGCTGGGTCACAGACTAGGGATATATTTAATTTATAAGAAATTGTTATAATTTTTTTCAAAGCAGTTGCACAATTTCCCATTCTCACTTATGAGGTAGGAAAATTCAGTTGCTCCACTTCATTGGCAATATTTGGCATTGCCAGTTTTTTAAATCTTAGCATTCTGGTGACAGTGTAGTGCTATCTCATTGCAGTTTTTCAAAAAACAGTAACTAAGATATAACTGACATACAATAAACTGCACATATTTAAAGTATACAGTTTGATAAGTTCTGACATGTATACACCCATGAAACCATCATCACAATCAAGAAAATGAACATACCCACCACTCCCAAAGGTTCTCAGGGCCCTCTGTAACTCTTCCCTCCCACCTCTCCTCCCTGTCCATAGGTAACC